CGGCCAGGCACCCCCGGGCGGGGGGGTACTCAGCCCCTCTCACCTTTCAGGGGCCGGGCTACACCCCTTGATGCTGGAGCCTGAAATGGCGCACATTTCAACCGGAAAGGCCAGACGGTGACGGTTCTATTTTGTTTATTCCTTTGCCATTGATTCACTAGCAAATTACTGAACTGCTAGGCAGAGTGAAGACCCCTTGCTGTGAAAGACTCTGGGATTTCTCTGAGCTGAGTAGTACCGAGTAACCTAGGAAGAACAGCCGGAACCTGGGAAGAATCCGAAAGGATTCCCCAAGCCCCAGGGACAGTGCTGCGGATTCATCACAGGTGGGAGGGCAGGGGCTGGCTCGGCTAAGATATTTTGCCTTCGGATTCGAAAACATACTTTGGCTTTTGAATTTAAGTGTCAGGGCCCTCTCTGAACTCCAGGATTCTCTGGTTTACTCATTTACCACGTTCTTTAAATTATTATACTAAGCTAACCAAACTGACCTGTGCCTGCCTGACCGGAACCAAAGAAAGGCATATTTTATTTGGCCAAAATAAAACAATGGGCAACAGGACAAAAACACTTTAAAAGTTTTTATTTTACTGAAGGATAGTTGATTTACAATGTCAATTTCCACCGTACAGCAAAGTGACTTAGTTATATGTATATCCACATGCTTTTTCATATTCTTTTCCATTATGGTTTATCACAGACTATCGAAAAGCTCCCTGTGCTATATGATGGGACTCTGTTGTTTATTATTTATAACACTTTTATCATCCACTAAGTACTTCAGAAGTTGCCTCTTTCATCATAACAACCGAAGAACAGATGATAAGATTACTAACCTGTGGAGTTGTGTGTTAGCTTGTAATTAGATCTACTGTTCACTTTTTTTTTTTTTTCTGTTTTGATAGTTAGGTAAGAAACTGCAGCTTGTTTATCTCACATGGAAGCTCTTCTACTATACAAAGCACCTCAGAGCCACATGCCTTGAAACCCTCCAGTGGGACACGCAGACAGGGGACCGCCCCCCCCCCCCCACCCGCCGACCCACCAGACGACAAACACTGACTCTGCATGTGGTGTGTGGAAAGAAGCCGGCGCAGCGCTGGCAACCTCGGGCTTCGGCACTCTCGGGGCTCGGCGGTGACTGCCTGTCCTGGACCCGGGGTGGGGGGGGGGTGTGCCCGATGCCCACGAGCCGAGAGGGCTTTGCAGTTGCTTCTGCAATCCTGAGCTCCAACGGAGCCAGTGACATTAGCATCTTCACTTCACACCCGCAGTCCATGCAGGGACCTCGGGGGTCGGCCTTTCTGAAGCTTCAGGAAATAGCGTAGCTGGGTGTCTTATCTACTGCTAGGATCTCTTATACATCAGACCATAGTGCCAGCTCCATATTTAAAGTAGCAAAGATACTCTTAACATGAAAGAAGTCCTTCTCTTTGTCCCAACATTCGAAATAGTGGACAAAGTATGATGCTTATAGTAAAAGAACTGGGTTCAGATTGCAGGTGAGCTACTTACCAGGACATTTATATATTCTTTTATCCAGCATGGTTTTTCCAGTGGTCATGTATGGATGTGAAAGTTGGACTATAAAGAAAGCTGAGCGCCAAAGAATTGATGCTTTTGAACTGTGGTGTTGGAGAAGACTCTTGAGAGTTCCTTGGACTGCAAGGAGATCCAACTAGTCTATCCTAAAGGAAATCACTCCTGTATATTCATTGGAGGGACTAATGCTGAAGCTCCAATACTTTGGCCACCTGATGCGAAGAGCTGACTCATTGGAAAAGACCCTGATGCTGGGAAAGATTGAAGGCAGGAGGAGAAGGGGATGACAGAGGATGAGATGGTTGGATGGCATCACCGACTCGATGGACATGGGTTTGGGAGACTCCGGGCGTTGGTGATGGACAGGGAGGCCTGGCGTGCTGTGGTCCACGGGGTCGCAAAGAGTCGGACACGACTGAGCGACTGGACTCAACTGACCCAGCATATTCCTTTGCTTGAGTACCCCAGCTCACCCACCTCCACACAACGGGAAGCCAACGGAAGAAGCTCAAAGGCCCACCTGAGGCCCTAATGGGAAGGCGAATCGTCCGAGGCCGACCAAGGGGCACAACGGTGACTGGGCAGCCATCCTCGGCAGCGTTTCTGCAAGCATTCTCACCGACCGATGAAGCTCTCAGGGCTGCTCTCTGGACCTCCTGAGGCTTTGAGGCTGCGGCTCCAGGTTCTTCTAGCAGCTCCGTTCAGAACCGCTGCTCACGAGGGAAAGAAAAACCTTAGGGAATAAGACTGGACCACTGAGATCGGGGAGCCCAGACGCAGTTTGATTTTATTTAGAAAGGGCTTCCCAGGTGGCATTAGTGGTAAAGAACCCCCCTGCCAATAGAGGAGTTACAGAAGACCCAGCTTCGATCCCTGAGTCGGGAAGATCCCCTGGAGGAGGAAATGGCAAACCCCCTCCAGTATTCTTGCCTGGGAAATCCCAAGGACGGGGAGCCTGGTGGGGTTGCAGGGGGTTGCAAAAGAGTTGGACACGACTGAAGTGACATAGCAGCAGCAGCTGAAAGCCATTCCAATTCCTTACACTCACCTGAGTTAATGAGAGGAGGAGGAGGAAATTATGTTTGAAAAGTGCTTCCTGGTCAACAAATGGTTGCCCTTAATAATGATATTATGAACAATCAAGACTCCTTTGCTTCTTTTAGGTCATAGTTCCTTCTACTACCATGAAGCACCAGTGGAATGTAACAACCTTCTTGGTGTTATTATATGATTGTGATATTGTATAAAAAGGTATACTTCCACAGAAGATCAAGGTTAGTGTAACCTGTAGACACTCTCAGCTCAGTTGCTCAGTCGTGTCCGACTCTTTGCAACCCCATGGACTGCATCACCTAGGCCTCCCTGTCCATCACCAACTCCCAGAGCTTACCCAAACTCATGTCCATTGAGTCGGTGATGCCATCCAACCACCTCATCCTCTGTCGTTTCCTTCTCCTGCCTTCAATCTCTCCTAGCATCAGGGTCTTTTCCAATGAGTCAATTCTTTGCATCAGGTGGCCAAAGTATTGGAATTCCAGCTTCAGCATCAGTCCTTCCAATGAATATTCAGGACTGATCTCCCTTAGGATGGACTGGTTGGATCTCCTTGCAGTCCAAGGGACTCTCAAGAGTCTTCTCCAACACCACAGTTCAAAAGCATCAATTCTTCAGCGCTCAGCTGTCTTTATGGTCCAACTTTCATATCCATACAGGACTACTGGAAAAACCATAACCTTGATTAGACAGACCTTTGTGGACAAAGTAATGTCTCTGCTTTTTAATATGCTGTCTATCTTGGTCATAACTTTTCTTCCAAAGAGCAAGTGCCTTTTAATTTCATGGCTGCAGTCATCATCTGCAGTGATTTTGGTGCCAAAAAATAAAGTCTGTCACTGTTTCCATTGTTTCCCAATCTATTTGCCATGAAATGATGGGACCGGATGCCATGATCTTAGTTTTCTGAATGTTGAGTTCTAAGACAACTTTTTCACTCTCCTCTCTCACTTTCATCAAGAGGCTCTTCAGTTCCTCTTTTCTTTCTGCCGTAAGGGTGGTGTTCTTTGCATATCTGATGTTATTGATAGTTCTCCTGGCAATATTGATTCCAGCTTGTGCTTCATCCAGTCCAGTGTTTCTCATGATGTACTCTGCATATAAGTTAAATAAGCAGGGTGACAATATACAGCTTTGACATACTCCTTTCCCAACTTGGAACCAGTCTGTTGTTCCATGTCCAGTTCTAACTGTTGCTTCTTGACCTGCATATGGATTTCTCAGGAGGTAGGTGGTCTGGTATTCCCATCTCTTGAAGAATTTTCCACACTTTGTTGTGATTCACACAGTCAAAGGTTTTAGCATAGTCAATAAAGCAGAAGTAGATGTTTTTCTGGAACTCTCGTGCTTTTCCGATGATCCAATGGATGTTGGCAATTTGATCTCTGGTTCCTCTGCCTTTTCTAGACACCCTAAGAGAAAATAAGTCTGATTCAATGAAATGATTGCTATTTCAATTCTCAAAGGTGTTTCTTTTCTTCTTTAATATTTATTTTGAATAGATAGCATATGTTCATTGTACAAGTTTCGAAAGGAACAAAGGGTACACAGATAATAGTTACCCCCCAACCTTCACCCCCTTAACATCCTTAGTGGCAGCCATTGCCAACATTTCTCTTGATCTTTGGAAACACAAATTTATATATTTTCTTTGTCTCTATGCACAAATGACTAGCATACTACACACATGATTCTGCACCTTAATTTTTTTCCAATATATCTTAAAGATCTTTCTGTTAGCACAAGTTCCTGTGTCCCACACACTGAGGCCAAACAAACAGAAACACTGGCATTTGGAGGAGAGAAAGGTTTACTGCAGGGCCAGGCAAGGAGTTAGGTGGCTAATGCCTTAAAAAAATAAAAAACCTGGACTTCCTGAAGGGTTTTGGCAAAGCACTTTGAAAAACCAGGTGAGACAGGGGAATAGCAAGGGACAGTGACCAGAGGTGGTATCACAGGGATTACCTTTATCAGTCCTTTGGCTGCACACAGCCTGGGGCTATATGCTCACAGTAGTTAAATCTTCCTTATGGTGGGGTGTTTTCAAATCTATAAAGCAACCCCGGAAATGTGCATCAGATACTATTATCTGGTAAAGCAGAGAATGGGGGAGGGGCCGCTCCCCAGGAGGCCCCACAGGGTCCTGCAGGCTGTATTTTCATACCAGAAGGCACAGTCCCCTTACCTTTTAGGCATCCCGTGGAAAGGACGCAGGCAGATTTCTTTGACTCGCTCCCTTTGGTAGCTATGGAAATCGTTTCCCATTCTCCCATATTAAAAAAATAAATAATGGTATTTACATTCCAGTTGATGTTTTTGCCAGAGATGCCCCAGGGCCTCTGGCCCGCTGCCCCTCCCTGCTCTCTCCCCACCAAAGGCCTTTTAATTGACTCATTCCTCTACAGTTTTGGCCAGTGTAAAACATTCACAATAAAAACAAAAAACCCAGGACAGCCGGGCCCTCCCACGTCTCCCTCTCCCCGCGGCTCGCCCCGCACGTGGCTCTGCGGTTCCAGCGTCGGTCCTGAGCTTGTGACCGGCTCCCCTGCCCGTGCAGAGGGCGGCTTCTGGGGACGCCGCTTGTCCGGAGCCTGCGGCCGCTGCAAAAACCCACGAGAGGCGGGTAGAGCGGCCCTGCGGGTGGTGGGGACAGACTCGCGCGCCAAGAAGCTGTCACTTGCCGCCCGGCGCGCGCCCGCTAGGCTGCCGAGCAACCGCCAGCCAATCGCCGCCGGGCCCCAGCCGTTTTACGGCAGCGGCCCTCCCCCTTCCCCCTGCGCACCGCCTCCGAGGGGCGGGGCGGAGGTGTGCAGCGAGCGCCAGCCAATCGGCGCCGCCGTCTCGCGCTCAGCGCCCTCCCGTAGGCCAAGAGCCGGGCGGCGGCCGTAAGGCGGGGCCGAGCTGTCGTGACGCGCGCGGGCGGTAGGGTGCGGTGTCCGCGCTGTCCGCTTCACCGGGTGTCATTGGGCTCAGAGGAGCTGCGGCGAGGGCACCGCGGGCGGCTAGGTGTCCGGCACGGCCATGGCAGGAGCGCTGGTGCGGAAGGCGGCGGACTATGTCCGGAGCAAGGACTTCCGGGACTACCTCATGAGGTGATGAGTGCCCCCGGGGCCGGACCCTAGACGCGCAGAGGACTCCGGGCTCCAGAGCGGATGGCGCGCGTGACGAGGGGCGCCGCGGGCAGCGGGGCGGGCGGGAGTCCGGTCACTCCTGAGGTGACGAATCCTCCGGGACCGGACCCTGGACGAGTCCCCCCGGTCGGATCCTGGACCCTCAGAAGACTCCGGGCTCCGGAGCGATGCCGCGTGTGACGAGGGGCTCGGGGCGGGCGGGATTGCAGTCACTCCTGGGTGACGAGTCCCCCTGGCCGGACCCTGGACTCGCAGAGGACTCCGGGTTCCGGAGCTGATAGCGCGCGTGACGAGGGGCTCGGGGCGAGCGGGATGACAGTCAGTCCTGAGATGACGAGTCCCCCTGGCCGGACCCTGGACCTTCAGAGGGCTCCGGGCTCTGGAGCCGATAGCGCGCGTGACGAGGGGCTCGGGGCGAGCGGGATTCCAGTCACTCCTGAGGTGACGAGTCCCCGCGGCCGGACCCTGGACCCTCAGAGGGCTCGGGGCTCCGGAGCCGATGCCGCGCGTGACGAGGGGCGCGGGCAGCGGGGCGGGAGTCCAGTCAGCCGAGGAGGGTCCCGGGGTAGCGGGCCGGCGGCTGGGGGGCCGCGGCGCAGGGGCCCCCGGACAGTGGGGCGCAGGTGGAGCCCCGGTGCGGACGAGCGCTGAGAGCCGGCCGGGTCCGGCGCGTGAGCCCGGGGCTCCGCCTCCCGGCACCTGCCCGGCAGGTGTGCAGCGGGCGGGCGCTGGGAGGGCGCGCCCTGGCGTCGCGCCGGGCAAGCGGAGCGGCGGGGGCCAGGGCTGCTTCTCCGCCACAAGGGCACCGAGCCCGCCGGGTCGACTCGTCCTTCGTGTTTCTCAGCTTCAGGAGGTCAGGCGTGAGTGGGAGGGAGTCACATCCAACACGATTTTACAGATGAATATTCTGCCAACCAACCGCACGGTTTTTTACACGGTGTTTTCCATTGACTCTTGCCAGGTAGAAAGGGCGTTGGCGGGATAAAAGGCCTGAAGACACTTTCTGTATTTTATTTCTATCTCTAGTCTTCAGACCCCTGCTTTGTATTTCAAAATATTTAATAAAACTTTAAAGCCGTTTTATATAATTTATTTGGGGGCTTCCCAGGTGGCGCTAGTGGTGAAGAACTTGCAGGCAAAACGTAGTAAAGAGGTAATGACAGCTAAGAATTGTAATCACCCATAGGGTACAGTATGAAGGCAGCTTCATTTACCAGTAAAAAAATATATATATAATTTTTAAAATTCTGAATCTTATTGAAAATACTGTTTACTTCTAATTTTAAAGATCAGTAGGGTAAGGAAAATAATTTTCTGACATAAATGTGGGATCAAGAACTTCACTCTTGAGTTTTCTTAAAAAAAAAATTTTCTGTACGTATAGGACTGTGGTTAATTAAGATAGATGTTTAGTACTGTGGAGTACAGTATTTATCAGGTTAATGTGCTGGCAAGTCTGAGCAAAGTAGTCTTGTGAGGCTGTGTGCTTAGTCCTTGCAGTAAGTTTCCCTACAGCTTCAGATACTACCTTAGGTTTTACTAATGTTTTCTCCTGTGTATGAGCCTTCCTAATAGTTAAGGACAGCTAAGGATAAAGCTGTATGGTATAATTAAGAATAAAATCTTATCCACATTAGAAATATGCTGATGATCACCTAGAGTTTGTAGAATATATGTATTTTCAAGGAAGAGAGTTAGACCCACTTTTCTAAATTTATATTTTTTCTACTAGATAGGTGTCTGAGAGCCAGGCATTTCAGTTGAATGCTTTGATGTGTGGTCTAGCCTTTTTTCAGAGGTTAAGTTCATGTAGCTTTAATGTTTACATACCTTCTCTAGCATTGCTTTAATTGTATTAAGCTCTGACTAAATAAGGAAGAGGATTGCACTGTCCAGGAAAGTGCTGCCAGGTTTGGCACCCAGCTAGGATTCCGAAGAATGACTTCAGGCCAAGGGATCTCCAGCAGTCAATCCCAGTGGACTTTAGTTACCCCATCTATGAAATGGGCTTAATCACAATGTTCTGTCTCACTGGGTTGTTGAGAACATTAAACCCTGTGAGGGGTGTGAAAATAGTTGGAAACCCAAAATCACTATGTATTTCTATTATATCTTGCTGTCTTTGTAGCAGAAACATTTTTTAGAGTTTCTTATTATTGGAAAAGTTAAAATCATAAATGTGGATTTTACTGAACAGAGCTTGAGTCTGTGCACCTGATACACAGCAAATCCAATCTCCTGACCCCACATTGTGGGGAAGGAAAGTGCCGTGTTTATTGCAGGGTCCCGGCAAGCCAAGAAGGGGCAGCTCATGTCAAAAGACCCAGATTCCCAGATGACTCTCAAGAAAGGATTCTTGACACGAAAGAGCCAGGGTTGCAGGGTGTGTGATCAGCTTGTGGACTTCTGACTGGTGGGTGGTGACGTAACCAGGTGATTTGGGGAATCTTAATGACAGCATCTCACACGCTAGTAAAGTAATGCTCAAAATTCTCCAAGCCAGGCTTCAGCAATATGTGAACTGCGAACTTTCAAATGTTCAAGCTGGTTTTAGAAAAGGCAGAGGAACCAGAGATCAAATTGCCAACATCCGCTGGATCATAGAAAAAGCAAGAGAGTTCCAGAAAAACACCTATTTCTGCTTTATTGGCCATGCCAAAGGTATTGACTGTGTGGATCACAATAAACTGTGGAAAATTCTGAAAGAGATGGGAATACCAGACCATCTGACCTGTCTGTCCACCTGAGAAACCTGTATGCAGGTCAGGAAGCAACAGTTAGAACTGGACATGGAACAACACACTGGTTCCAAATAGGAAAAGGAGTACATCAAGGCTGTATATTGTCACCCTGCTTATTTAACTTATATGCAGAGTACATCATGAGAAACACTGGGCTGGAAGAAGAACAAGCTGGAATCAAGGTTGCCTGGAGAAATATCAGTAACCTCAGATATGCAGACGACACCACCCTTATGGCAGAAAGTGAAGAGGACCTAAAAAGTCTCTTGAAGAAGTGAAGGACGAAATTGAAAAAGTTGGCTTAAAGGTCAACATTCAGAAAACTAAGATCATGGCATCTGGTCCCATCACTTCACTGGAAATAGATGGGGAAACAGTGTCAGACTTTATTTTGGGGGGCTCCAAAATTCCTGCAGATGGTGATTGCAGCCATGAGATTAAAAGACGCTTACTCCTTGGAAGGAAAGTTATGACCAACCTAGACAGCATATTTAAAAGCAGAGACATTACTTTGCTAACAAAGATCCGTCTAGGCAAGGCTATTGTTTTTCCAGTAGTCATGTATGGATGTGAGAGTTGGTCTGTGAAGAAAGCTGAGTGCCGAAGAATTGATACTTTTGAACTGTGGTGTTGGAGAAGACCCTTGGACTGCAAGGAGATCCAGCCAGTCCATCCTAAAGGAGATCAGTCCTGGGTGTCCATTGGAAGGACTGATGTTGAAGCTGAAACTCCAGTACTTTGGCCACCTTATGCGAAGAGTTGACTCACTGGAAAAGACCCTGATGCTGGGAGAGATTGGGGGCAGGAGGAGAAGGGGATGACAAGAGGATGAGATGGTTGAATGGTATCACCGACTCGATGGACATGGGTTTGGGTAGACTCCTGGAATTGGTGATGGATAGGGAGGCCTGGCGTACTGCGATTCATGGGGTCACAAAGAGTCAGACACGACTGAGCGACTGAACTGAATGACAACCTTCTAGTTCCAACTTCTTGTGGTGGAAATGTCGTCACCACCCCCACCGTGGGTGGGGTCTTTGTTCCTGCAGAACAACTCAAAGGTCTGTGTTAGACTGGTGTGTGTATCCCTTTAGAAGGAGCTAGGACTCTGTTTTGTCGCTGAACTATTGTTTACACTTTCATTACTTTTCTTGCTTACATTTCCTTCTTTCTGTGTTTCCTCACTGTCCCAATTAGTAACTTCCTGAATCTCCCCTTGGGAACTTCAGGAAGGCCTTGGAGACTAAAGCCCTTTTCTGTAACAAGAAACAGGGGCATGGAGGGGCTTTTGTACCCAGGAAGACCCTACAGGGTCCCGCTCATTTTCACGAGGTGTGAAGATGTGTATTTTGACCTAGAAATACTTTTGTGGACTGAACGGAGGAAGTGAGTGTCCTACTGGGCTTATTTTCTCTGCTGTTCTTGGCAGCAGTGGGATCTCATGTCAGCCTGCCAGGCAGTGATTGAGGACAGATTTGAGGACTGCTATCAAAACTCTCATCAAAGCTCTTTTATTAGCCTTTTCCCCAGAAGGAAAGACTTCTCTCTCCAGAACTTATTAGAGGGATGTTTCCCCTGTTTGTTCTTCCAGTCTTCCTTACAGCCCCTGCTTTGCTTCTGCAAAGGCAAATGAAGCAATAAGAAGACAATTTCATATTCTCATCCAATCAGAAAAGGGGTTCTGTGCCTGCTCATCTCATCTGTTCTACATTCTTTGCAATCCTGGACTACTCAAGAGCTCCAGCCTTCTTCTTACAGCCTGCCAAAGGGGTATAGAGGTTTTCCAAACTAAAGCTGTTGTAGAGTTTTAAAGTTATCTTATTAATGACAGAGTTGACATCTGCCGCAAAAATTTAAATCATGTTTCACATAGATTATAAACTCCTGTCAGTTACATTTTCTGAATAAGATTGAAATGCCTTTCTTACTGAAGTGAATATTCAAGTGTATTTTAAAATGTTGATTTTTTTTTTTTTTTGGTCGAGAAACCTGAGTTGAAAGAGCAGGTTCTAACCAAAGGCAGTGTGTGGATTTTGTTTGGATCTGGTATGGATGAAAACAGCTCTAAAAGCCATTACTCGGACAACTGGGACATTAAAATAGGGTCTCAGTATTAAAATATTAAGTAATTAGCAATAGTTTTTGTTGTGTGTGATGGCAGTATTATTACACCTAGTATTGAATTTGAATGATAGGCTTGAATCTGAGCCCTGTTGCTTTCCAGCTGTGTAGTCTTGGACAAAGTTCTTAGTTTTTGTGCTTCGGTAGCTGTTTGATGATACAGCCTAGTGCTGTGTATATTTACCAAAGGAAATGTTCTATTTATTTGTATTTTTATGAATATTCTGTGCTTAGTCCCTGGGTTCCTGGTACTCTCCTTTTGGTGCCTTTCAGCTTTCCTTTCCCTGATTTCTTCTTCTTACCTTAGTGAAAATCTTGAATTAAGAACCTTCTGGATCTGTATTCTGATCTGGATCTGTTTTTAAAGAAGAATAAATTATTTCCTCACATACCTTATCAGGAAAGCCAAAGAAAATAGCTTTTTTTTTTTTTTGGTCCTCTTCTCCTCTTATTCTCCCTCCTGAATTAAGAAAAATAAATTAGAAAGAGCAGCTAAGCTTGGAGATAGGACATGTGTTTTGTGGTCTGTCAAGGTCTGTGCATGTTTATACTAGAGATTTATTCCCCTTCCCAGAGGAGTGAATGGATGTGTATGTGCACATATGTGTAGCAGAGATCTTCTTAAGTAAGCCTAGATCATGAGTGTTAGAAAATCAGTTTATCAGTCAGCGTGCTCTTATAAACCCCAGGTAAGTTGGGTGTTTGCAGTAAGTATTCTCCAGTTGGTAAGGTTTTCTATTCTGTTAATTTTAACTTCTAAGCTTCCAGGAGAGCTTTAAAAATTTATACTTAATACCCAAGGGAGAAGTTGCAGGGGAAAACAGAAATCTTTCCAAATAGAATAGAATGTTAGAGCTGAATGGTCCTTCAACATCAGATGGTCCAGCACTTCACTGGCCATATGGGAAAACTAAGATCCAAACCACGCAGAAAAGTTAAGGTGTTGAGACTCTCTGGACACCAAGCTTGTGAAGCCAAAACAGGAATGTCTGTTTAAGATTTGAAGGGAAATATTTATGCACAAAAATGGTTTTGAAAAGAAGGTTTCAGTACTTTCTTTGAACCTCCTTTTCCTGTGTATGTCTCCCTTCTCTGCCACAAGCTTCCATATCCTGCCCTTGGCTTTACTTCCCTGTCTTGTAAATGACCTTCAAACACTTTCTGAGGCTGAGTGTTGAAGCTGAACTGGCCACAAGAGTCTCTTTTCTGCCTTCCAGTTTAATTTTGACCAGCTGAATATCACACATTCTGATTTTTAAAAAACTCCCTGATTTTAACTTGAAGTAGAGAATCAGGTAAAAGTTGGTGAGAATAAGTGAAATGGTGGTCACCATTTTCAGCCTCTAAGAGAATTGCAGCCTAGAATATCTCAGAATCTTACTCTACTGTCAGGAGTGATGTAGACAGACTGTGCTTAGATCCTTTTAGTACTGTATAAGTAAGTTATAAACTACCTAAATTACCCAGAGCACTTGCAGAGAAAGCTAACAATTACTGTCAGTAATTTTAGGAAAAGAAGAAACAAATTGGCAGTGCCCAGGAGACTTTGTGAAAATAAAAATGGGTGCAGAAGAAACCTGGAACCAAACAGACAGTATTAAGATAAAGGTTTATTCAGGGGGGTCCTGGTCTTCCTCCTCTATCACCTCCATCATCATTCTTCTTCTTCTTTTTTAAAAAAATTATTTATTTATTTTGCTGTGCCAGATCTTTAGTTGGGGCAGGTGGGATCTTAGTTGGGCAGATGGGGTTTCATTCCCTGACCAGGGATCAAACCTGGGGCCCCCTGCATTGGGAGTGCAGAGTCTTAGCCACTGGACCACCAGGGAAGTCCCGCCATCAACATTCTTACCTGGTTTCTCCTTCACGAAAATTCAAGGTCAAGTTGACCTTGAATTGACCAAGAAAGCCTGTATCTGTTTCAAGGTTTTTTAACCTTCACCAAAGTAAAGGCAGCATCCCTAGTGGAGAGAGTGCCGAGGGTGTTCTCCACACAGTTTTACATTCCTGTCCCCAGGTGCAGTTTGTGTTGCTTTTAGGTTTATCTTTCTTTAGAACAGATACTCATACATACTGGGAAACTTTTCTTTTCTAGTTTGGCCCTGCGCCAATGTGCTTTTTAGATTTTTTGACTGAAGTTGACTCACGTTTTAGACAACGCTGACACAGAATTAAGAGATTCTGTGAGTTGAGGATTTTTGTATTTCCTGGGGATGTTAGAACAGTTTTATTCTTAAGGTTGTTTTATAATCATTAAACCACTATTAAAGTGATATGATCAACATTATTTTTTGATCGGTTTCACGTAGGACTTTTGTACTAAGCAGGGAATGGTGGCAGAAATTAATTCCTCCTTCACATTCCTCTATAATCTGCCCTAAGGTCACCTGTTGTAAAATAGGGTAGAGTTTGAACTATTGTACAATCCAAGGATAGAGTTCTGAATTGAAAACTAAATTATCGAGTTGACATTTTGGATTTTAAGAACTATATCTGGAAATATTTTTGAAATAATTTGTAGGAAAAAAAAAACCAAAACCGCTATTGGTCATTGATCAGTGAATAAAAGGCCTGTGTTCAGACCCTGAACAGAGGAAAGCAACCCCAGAAGTGACTGCAGCCTGTAAACTGCAGGACCCTGCCCTGACTGGGTCAGGATGCTGCCCCCCTGTAAAGCCCTGTGCTCAGCTTGGACCAGCTTGTTCCACAGTGGAAACGTCATCTGTTAGAACAGCTCACTTACCTTTGAAAGACGGGCTCTTTCTAGGCTGTTCGTATTTCATAATGGGATCTATTTGAAGTGTATTATTAGCACCTTTAGCAAGTACTTTCATGCTGGACATAAGAACCTCCTTGAGCCCTAACTTGAAGCAACTAGAGGAAGGACTTCCCTGGTGATTCAGTGGTTGAGACCCTGCTTCCAATGCAGGGTGCAGGGCGCAGGTTTAATTCCTGGCTGGGGGGAATCAAGCGACATGACCAAATATAAAAGAACACGATGAGTTCTTTGGACGTGACTGTGTGTATAAAGATTTTTATCGTTTTATTCCAGTGATTCTTTCAGTAGCTGTGCTTTAATAAGTTTGCCTTAACAGAACTATTCAGCTATATCCTGAAAAGAAGAACTACCGTTTCAGCAATAAAAGTAACTCGACATATTTCTGAATGGCATTAGTTTTAACATTCAGGAAAACAGTTCACTTAACATTAAAAGATTTTTCTCTTCATTCAGCAAACATTGTTTGAATGCCTTGTGAATGCTGGGCATCACTTGGACCAGAGTTTCAGTCATGAACGAAATATAGAATTACACACCTATTTTTAGGGCCTTATGTTCTGGTGATAGCCTGTTAGTCAGTAAGAATGGAAAGTTCGTTGCAGATAAAATTCTGCAGCACTGTGCTTCTATTCGGCTAGTTGTTTTCAAAGAAATGCTCCCTTGAAGCCCATGCTGTCCAGTCTGAGAGCCCCCAGCCCCAAATGGCCACAGAGCTCGTGGAGGGTGGCCAGTCCAGGCTGAGGTATTCCGGGAGTGTTGGCGCCCACTGGATCTCAGAGACAGAGCCAAAAAAGAATGTAAAATGCCTCATTGTGAGGTTGTTCTTGATTACATGTCCAAATTAAAATATTTTGAAACATTAGAATAAATAAGTAACGTTAACTCCTGTTTTTCATTTTTGTTAACATAGCTTCTAGAAATCTTTAACTTCCTTGAGTGGCTTCTGTGTATGACTTGCATTGTATTCCTATTGAATAGCCTGACTTTAAGGATTAAGTTTGTTTTTGATAAAATTAAGGTTTACTTTCATTAGGTCAAGGTTATTATTAGAAATATCACTAAATCATCTTTTTTAAAAATGTGCTGCTTGTGTTATGGTTCTGTTACTGAGATGTGGACACGTGTGACATTAAAGAAACTGAAATGTTTCAAAGCATCTGATCTTTTTTTTTTTCCTTCCCTATGTCTCTCCTGTCCGAACCTTGGCGGCTCCTCACAAAATAGTACGGTAAGAGCCTATCTCTCCTTCGCTTGAGGCTTCTGCAGACTTTGTGCAGTAGCAGAGTTATGCACAGGAAATAGCACATCCTGCCTCAGTCCTGCGGGCCTCGGGTCCTCAGGGTCCCCTCTGGACGCCGACTTCCCTGGAGGACCAGCGCACTGACCAGCAGCTATCTGACAGCACAGGCCAGGTGTTATTCCAGAGCAGGGAGGTGACAGCTGGAACCTCGTACTAGATAGAAAAGATGTATTCTGCAGTTAGATAACTTCATAACTAGTGTTGAAATTATATTTACCCTTTATGTTCTTTTTAAGAAATGTATCTTAAGTATATCTCAGAGCTTATAACCACAAGTATATATATAGCCCTTGACTTGCAGAACCTTGTGTCATATAACCCTACACTCAGGCCAGTGAAACTGTGAGCCCTGTCATGTGACCGGAAGTCCCCGGCCTGCCCCAGGTTTCAGATTCACGCCAAGGCCTCCGCTATCTGCCACAACTGTGATGCAGATGCCTGGTATGGCCAAGCCCCACAGGGAGCCATGTGCGTGCTGTGTAGATCCAGAGGCTGCTGAGCAGAGCAGAGTGATGGGAAACAGTTAAACAGCAGGTGATGGGAATAGACTGATGTGGTCAAAAAAGGCAGAGAAGAAGATGATGTGGGATAAAGTGAGGGGCCACAAGGGAAGGACAGGTCCCTCCCTGAAGTAAACAGGTGAGGAGTGGGAGACACTGTGTCACCGGAGGTCTGGAGGGTGAGAAAGAAGGGAAACGGCCAGCCCTCATCTCAGAACCAGCAAAGTTTCAGCCGTGTGTGTCTCAGACAGAATCCAGTCTGAAAGCAGGGCTTATTAGCCACCCAGCATCTCAGAGGTTCTGTGCAGCAGCTGTGCCTAAGTTACAGCGTCCGTAACTCAGACGTGGACGCCGCGGGTCTCAGCATGCTGGCCGTGGGACAGCTGTGACACTGGATAGCTTCTCAAGGCACAGCCTCATGCTTGCATTAAGCACATCGTACAAACATTTCAAAATATTAGATCATGACAGAGGTAATTCTCATCTTTTTTTTTTTTTTTCCTTTTTCCTTTCTCATTATTAGGAGGTTTTGAATTTTAATGACTCTTGGTCAGTATCAAAAATGCAGATATAGAAATGTATTCTGCAGTCTAAACTTATCTTAAATGCTCTGATAGGCAGAAATAAAGCACTGCTTAATGTTCTGGTAACCAAAAGGTGTCTTTAGCCAATGATGTGTGGTTTCCTTTATATTTTACTTTGATTTTTTTTTTTTGGCTGTGCCATGTAGCTTATGGGAATCTTAGTTCCCCAGCCAGGGATCAGACCTGGGCCTCGGAAGTGAGAGTACTGAGTCCTAACCACTGGTGCCAGGGACTCCCTCCTTCATACTTTCAAGTATTATTTGCAAGTTGTGCATAAATAAAACAAGTTTTAATTTAATAGGAAAAGTCCCTGGACTTATTTCAGCCTCAGAAATTAAATTAAATTGGCTGTCACTGCTGTTCAACATGGACAACTAAGTTTTGGTGTCCTGTGATAGCTGTGGTTGTAGGTAAGAAACGGTTGGTCCATTTTCTAAATATAGGTTGCTACTATTATTTTAAAAGTATTTTTCAATCTTTATTTCATACTGTCTGAGGTTCCAAGTATAGATTTTTTGGTTCTCTGATCTAAATATGATCATATGAACTGAAAGCAGTTTCTTCTCTTTCTTCGTTATTTTCTTCAGAAAAACTATCCAACTTAGGGTCTGTATTTTAGGAGATCCTGACACATATCTTAATGAAAACTTGAAAAAAGAAGTTCTGATAGATTTAAACATTGCAGAGAATAGTTCTAACAAGGTTTAAGTTAAGTTGTGGCAAGATTGAATTATGCAAGAAGTTAATCTCATTTGAAAATTCTCTAAATGAGATAGTCAGAGATTACTTAACTGTCATCTGGACATTAGCAGGGACCTTGATGAAGTGCCTGCTCCCTTCAGTTTGGGGTCTCACCTGTGAGAACTGCTGATTCATAGGCCAACACTTGCACAACCCAGCGCCTGCCTGCCTGGTGACCTTCCAGTGCTGACCCGCACAGTTCACGTTACCATCTAAGGTAGTAGAAGTTGCAGCTGTTCATGGCTCCATCTTCACTTTTCCTCTTCTTTCTCCCCTCATTTTTTATAGCACTTTTGGGGCCCAGTAGCCAACTGGGGTCTTCCCATCGCCGCCATCAATGACATGAAGAAGTCCCCAGAGATTATCAGTGGGCGGATGACATTTGGTAAGGATGCAGATGTGAATAACTGCATATGTATATTTATAACTGTATATGTATAATTATAGCATGATACAGCTCCTGCGTACATTTCACGTTTGTCGCCCCAGAAACTGCAGTCACCGTTAGAAAGTACCACAAAGAGCCTGCTGGCATCGAGAGACCTTACGTCACACAGCAAGGGAGAAACTGGGCTACTGTTTTTAAGTATTTGTTAGGGTCCTGTCTGCCTTTCAGATTTAGTACCCCCAGTTAAAGAGTGTGTCCTCTTGAGCTTTATTCAGAAAAAGTATCTTTAAGTTTACTTGAAACTCTAATATTTGACCATAAAAGATGTTGAGGGGATTAAAGGGCAGTGCTTTCAGATAGCGGACTATAAACAACTCTAGGGGAAAGAAAAGGAGGCCAGAACTGATGTCCGTGCACTGACTTTCATGAATAGCAGAGTCCCCAGCAACGGGGCCGACCAGCTCATGAGTCTCCCCTTTGTGGAAGCGTGTAAAGGCTGTAGCAGGAGAGGCAGTCGGCCCCGCGGCCCTTGATCGTGGTGGCTGTCAGTCACTGTCTGTCTTGCGTGTCCTGGCAGCCCTCTGCTGTTACTCCCTCACGTTCATGAGATTCGCCTACAAGGTGCAGCCTCGGAACTGGCTCCTGTTTGCCTGCCACGCCACCAACGAAGTAGCCCAGCTCATCCAGGGAGGACGGCTGATCCGGCACGAGTGAGCAGACCCCTCCCACCCTTTGTGTTCGGAGGGGCTGGGCGGAGCGGAAACCTCTAGGGTGTGGGTGTGGACAGAAGTGCTTCTGTCCTGTCAGCTGGGGAGACTTGATTCGGAGCAAAAATATGCCGAGAATTTGAAACAGTGATTGGGCAGTTAATACAACACAGTGAAAATCACTGGTTAAAACAGGAGCATTGGCATGAAGTAGGAGGTCACTGTTTCTGTCAGATCCTGACTTGGAATAAGTGTTACATCAAGCTCTCCATGACCTTCCTTAAAGCCCTCCTGACCTCTGAGGCTGGTGGAGAGGTCATTTCCTCACCAGGTTTTGCCTTGTGCTTCTTCCCAGGATGTCTAAAAAGGCATCAGCGTAACAATAGGAAATGAAGAACCGGCCTTTGAAGGGACTGCATCACCAGCTGCCGTTGCCGTGTCATGGATTCCACCATCATGAATAGTCTTGCTGAGGAAAATACGCGGAATGCTATTTTTACTAATCAGACTATTTTTCTAGACATAGCAGAGTCCGTAAACCAGCTCTCTGCTGCCTTACGAGTACTGAATATTTTCCTTCTCTTCAGAAAGAGTAGCACAAATATGCAATCAAGTTAATAATTCTCAATGAAGGTTTTATCTGCAGTAATATGTGTATTATCTATTAGAATATACTTAGTGAAAAACTGAAGAGAACAAACTTTGTGACCATTAGCATTAAGTGCTCAGAAGTCGTGTCCTTTAATGGCCGTGACCCAGCCGGCAGCTGGCCTCATGCCCAGAGCACATTGCCAGTGTTTGGAGAGCTATTTGTACTTCCGTGCAGTGTGTATATTGAAATGCTATAAATTAATGGCAATAAATGATATAAATATTTGTCAAATAAGTATGATTAGGTGTCTTGCTGTGTTTGTTAACAAACTGAAGAACTGTATCCCAGAAAGGACACTCACAGGTGAAAACTGGATCCCTGAAAATGGGTGAGCCGGCAGGGGCAGTGACATGCCAGGCCCTGTTTCTGGAGGGAGCCCCCCGTCCCCGCTGCTCATACTGCCCTCCGCCTTGTGGGCAGGCAACAGGAAGTGAGTGCCCCCGGGCCTGCACCTGCACCCCGCCGAGGTGTCCTGGGCTCGGGTGCCCCCTCCCCAGGCCAGCCACCTCACACCTGTGCCGTGTGCAGGGACGCCGTGGGGACTGCAGCCCCTGGCACGCGTCGACAGCATGTCTAGCACCATCCGGGGCACCAGGAGGGGCGGCTGACATCGGGCAGGGGCACGCGCGGGGGGTGGGGGCGGGGTGGCCCCGAGAAGCCTGTCCTGACGCCTCGGTCAGTAGAAGCATGCCTGGGGTTTCTAATGCTCCCCGGTGGGCGGGAGCGGGTTCTCTGTGCTCTGGCGGGAATGGACGAGGGAGGCAGACGGACAGAGGGGTCCGCAGGCTGTGTCCTCTCTTCTCAGCCTGCCTGTCCCCGCTGAACCATTTCTGTGCCTTACTTCCCTTCGAAGGTGCCGAACAATTGACAAGGCATACTCATGCAGGTTCTCATCTGAGCAACGCCCGGCGGACCGGGGTGGGGGGGGGGTGGGAGGGGGGGATGAGAGGGCAGGGGGGCTGTGTGACTGGGGCCTCCTGCCTCAAGGCTGCATCTGCCAGAGACGGGGGAGGACCAGGGACAAGCCCTTCCTCCTCCATCAGGTTCCTGCCTCCACGGCTGCCTGCAGGTAAGGGTGGTTGAGAGGAACTTTCGATTAGAGCCTGGATGGAATTCATTAAAACTGTGCCTTCTACCTGATCAGTCCCACAGGTAACAGGACTTGTAAGCAACGCAAACCATCCAGGTGCATATAAAAGAGCCCACAGCCTGTCCCGTCAGGAGCCACCACTGGTAGCCTGTGGCTTTGGATCCTTCCCTCCCCCTTGCACCTTGGAGAACCTGCCTACCCGTCTCTAGTGCCAGCGAAGAGCCCACGAAGCTCTAAGGTGTCAGTCGGGAGACGGACACCATCTGCCAGCCGTCGCTTCCCTGAGCCGCTCTCACACCTGGGGCGCCTGGTGAGGAAGTGCGGACAGGCCGGCAGGGCCGTTTCTGCCCTGAGGACACGGACGAGCAGGGTGTGTGCAGGGCGCAGGGCTCGGGGAAGGCGCCCACATCACAGCGGGTGCTGAGGGGCCCCGGAGACCAGCTTCCCGACGGGGTCTCCCGCCGCCCTCAGCTCCCCCTTCTCTGCACAGAGTCCCGGCGAGGACACAGGCCAGGACCCCAGAGGAACGAGAAGAGGTGCGGGTACATTGTTCCTGGCTGGAATCTGACTCCTAAGTCCCTTCAGCGTCAGCATCAGCAGCATAGCTGTGTCCCAGAACCAGATTTATTCTCTTAAAGGTTCTCGGTTCCTTTAAAATGACCGGTGAATCATTAGCAGAAAGGACACTTAGAACAAGCGGGCATTCCGCTTGTAAGCAAAAAGTCTCACCAAAGAGACTGGTATCAAATGGTATTAAAACTTCCTTCTCCCAGTGGGCTGGACAGGAACCCTCCTGGGAGCATGGACCCTCCAGCTCTGTGCTCCTCCTGTGAGCGTACCAAGCCTTGTCTTGGGGCGACAGAAGTGAGTTATCCCAGAACAAACATGGTGGCTATGTGACCTGCTCTCCGGGCGCGGTGCCGGCTTCCTGCAAGGTGTCCTCAGGGCACCGCACCTGGGTATCGGGCAGTGTCAGTAGAGAGCACCAAGCCAACATAAGTATGTAAATACGTTAACCATGTGCATATATATGGTTACATACACAGTAATAACAACGGCTGCTGCTGCTAAGTCACTCAGTCGTGTCCGACTGTGGGCAACCCCATAGACGGCAGCCCACCAGGCTCCCCTGTCCCTCGGATTCTCCAGGCAAGAACACTGGAGTGGGTTGCCATTTCCTTCTCCAATGCGTGAAAGCGAAAAGTGAAAGTGAAGTCGCTCAGTTGTGTCTGACTCTTCACAACCCCATGGACTGCAGCCCACCAGGCTCCTCCGTCCATGGGGTTTTCCAGGCAAGAGTACTGGGGTGGGGTGCCATTACCTTCTCCAATAACAATGGCAGTAACAACTAAAACAGGAAAACACAGGGGTTGGTCTGGTGCAAGTGTGATTACTCTAAAAGCCCAATCGAGCAGGACTGGATGGGCCTTTGGGGCGGACCCCTTCCCCAGGTCCTCCACTGAGCCCCCCTCTGAAGTCCCCAGATGACGGGTCTGGTGCTCATTCCTGAGCTGTCTCACAGACACTAAACCCCTGCCAAAAGGAAGAAGTCAACTACTTGATGACTGAGAGGACATGGTCCCCAGACATATTGGCGCCTGAGGATTGATCATGTGAACACCTGACCCCTCCCTGTGACCCCACCATCAACCAATCAGAGAGCTGATCACACTCCTTTGGACCCCCTTCCTCACCTGGCCTGGAAACATGCTTTGCTGAAACCACAGGGAGCTGGGCTGTGTGGGGCACCAGCTGTCCAGACTCCTTGCTCCGGCGCCTGCAGTAAACACCACCCTTTCCTTCCCCACAGCCCAGGGTCAGTGCGTTGGCTTTATTGAGTGGGCGAGGAGACCCAAGTTTGGGTTGGCAGTGTCAACTACAAATTGGCACTTACCAAGAGCATCGCCAATGACTGAACATCAGAGGCATTTGCCATCTGCCTCTACGGAGCCTGAACCCCGTGCTGCTATAGCTGTTGAGCTTCACCACCCCCCGGGGGAGTTCAGGGCGGAGTGAGGCCCTCTGTGCTCCAGGGGATCTGGTGGGACCGGTCTTTAGATAGCTGGGTGTTTTTAGGAACAGGTTTTATGATCTCAATCCTTGCATCGCCTCATACCTAGAGAAGCACTAAATCCCTTCATGGTGACATCAGACCCTCATAACTAACAAAACACCTTTGGTAAAATGAATGCTTCATGGTAGGGAACTCCCCCTTCACCAAAACCTTATATATTGACTTTCCCCCACTGACGCTTTGGAGCAGTCTCTCAGAGCTCTCTGAGATGCTGCCTCCCAAGCTCATTTTGCCCCAAATAAAACGTAACTCACAACTCTCAAGTTGCACATCTTTGTTTAGTTGACAGTAGCAACACATTTTCAATTTTTTAAACTACCACGTGTAACGTTCTATCTAAAAATAATACTGCAAGTGAAATCATGTCCAACTCTCTGCGACCCCATGGACAGTAGTCCACCATGCTCCTCCGTCCATGGGATTTTCCAGGCAAGAATACTGGAGTGGGTTGCCATTTCCTCCTCCAGGGGATCTTCCCGACCCAGGGATCGAACCTGGGTCTGCCTCATTGCAGGCAAACGCTTTGAGCCACCAGGGAAATACTACTCCAGGGCTCAAAATGTTTTCCATTTCAAATAATAAAATGCGGGTTCAAAGCCGGCGCTGTGACACTTCCGTGATGAAGGACATCGACTGTCATGTGTCAAAGGGCCATGGCGGCTTCAGCCACAGGACACGTCCTTCCTCTGACGGGTCACGGGGCAGAGGTGGCCGCCGTGACGAGTGTCCTGCACTGCCCCGGGCTGGACCCACACGTCCCTGGGCACAGACGTGGCGGCCGGGAAATCCACAGGCCCCTTAGGTGACCTTCCTCGCGCCTCGCCGGCCGCGCCCCACACCTCCTGCAAAGGCTGCTCCCACCCACCACCGGGCCACTCGGAAGTCCGGCCGGGCTCAGGGACTGTCCTTCCTAGGTTTTCGTCCGGGATGTCTCAGCCACCTTCTCAGATGTGTTTGTGCGGGGGGGTTGGCCGAGGGTATCCAAAATACGAGCTGTCACACAATCTGAGGTCCCGACACCGGACGCTACATCGTAGCGCTTCCGCGGCAGGTCCTTGTCTCTGAAGAACTCAGTTTTCAGGCCCAGGAGAGAGCGGACGGAGCAGAGTCACACGAGGCGTCTGTCGCCAAGGCAGGGCCGTGGCCTTGGAGCTGTGGGGCACGAGGAGGGCGGAGGCTGGCCTGGGGGGAGGTGACACCAGTCCCCGGGGTTGGCCAGGGGGCTCCCGGGATCTCGGTGGTCTGACGGTGGGGGTGACAGAAACCTCAGAAAAGCCGCGTGAGCACGGCCATTCCCTGACAGCTTTCCTAGGAAAGATGCTCTCAAACCCATGATCGCCTCGCCAACAGGCGCCCCGCGCTGGTGTTCCTTCCGTGACTTGTCTGTGCTCCTGACGGAGCCGGCCCTGAGCCCCATCCGCTGCTCTCAAGGTCATCCGAGGCCGACCCAGACAGTATTTCAGCCCCGACCAGTAACCCGTACCTAGACAGTCACAAGGGCAGCTGGACAGTGGCTTTCTCTGTTATCTAGTTATCTAGTTATCAGAGCTTTACTGTAAGGTAG